CCGTAAGTGTATCCTAATAAACACCATTTCAAAATAGAAATGTATAGCTCAGGTGAATGGTTTTGAAGCCGAGTTGGTGTCGGCCACTATTTAAAAAAATATCTAATGACTGGATATGTTAGCTGTGAATAAGATTGAGCTTTAGTTAAATCTTAAAACCTATTTGGTTACTCATTGTTTTTGGTGTGTAGAACACCAAATAAATGCACCCAAACGAGACTGCAAGACGATTTATTATTAAGTAGGTCTGATTAAGGTTTGCGCATTAAAAATGTTAGGACACTTATTGTGAATGATTATTTGTTGGACATTATCACCATATTCCTCTCCTTAATTTAAAAGAAAAACTTAATTACTTATTGAACTCAATCGGTTAGATAAAATAGTACCCATATTATGTTTTAATGTAGACATTTCCAGATACTTATTTCAGTCAATGAAAAGCGTTTGACAGTGATCAATTGATTCTCAGGTTAATTAAAGACCGGTTTGAAATGTTTGATTATTCGTTACTGAAACAAGGCCTTCAACTGATATAATTTCATTATACTAAAATTAAAGCTGTTTCCAACATTATTGACGTTTTACATCTATCAAACATTAAATAATATTTAAAGACTGATCCACAATACAGTACTCTGACCAGTACTTTCTTGTTTGCATCAAACTCCAAGTCAGTCAGCAATTATCACCGTAGAACCTGATACAAACACGCTTTACTTCAAGTTTTCATATTATACTAAATCGGCGAGATGAAATTAACAGTGAACACCAGAAGAGACTAAAATAATATAGTAGCAATAACGATGAAGAAGACTTGGCGCTGAAAATATGGTTTGAAACGGTATTAAATAGTTATGTTTAAAGAAATGCTGGGATTCAAGATCAAAAAAAGATAAAGAGTAAATGCTTTTGGACCATTGTGAATGGTTCTAAGCCGTATTACTCAGTCTACAACCAATGATCGGAGTTATCTTGAGGATATCAACCAGGTAGTTTGTTTCTGCGAACATGAATCAGGTTGATAGTCATTGACTTCATGAACTGATGCTATTGTTTTGGACTACTTCTGCACTACCAAGCAACTTTCGTTAAGTTAGGCAGTGTTTAGGCATACGCAACAAATGTCCTGACCGATTCAGTCAATGAAGATTTATAACTTCATCAACCCACCCCCCACCTTTACTAAAACCCTACGTCTAACCTTAACATTGCCCCCTGAGCTGGCCCATGAAACGGAATGTTAGGAAAAATCTCAGAATCAATAGTTATCGTAAGGGTTTTCATCTTAAATGTAATGTCTTTTAGTTTTTCCCTGAATGAATTTCCGGTGAGTTTTTTTTATCTTACCATCTGATTGCGAGAAGTGATCCACAAAAGTACCCTAGACATAAATACTATAAGCACTCTCTTATTAGAGACTTCAAACTGCTAACGTGTTATAAGATCAAAAAATCTGGATTTACAGATTTGGACAAAAAGCGGATCATTCATAAGACTAATAGCCTCTCCTGAGGTGAATAAGCCCTTCGTTTCCCAAATCAAGTCACGACTGACTTTGACGAAGGTGGGCCATACTTAAATACAGCACTATCTCCAAATTAGCAAGTGGGATAAATTTACTTTAATGATAAAAATATACTAAAGGGAATTATGGACAACAAATGTCTTCAACGTAATAGTGTTTACTTGGTTCATTAAGATGAATAACCATTGTGACTCATTTGTCGAGAATCTTTCTATTTAATGAGCTTTGAGGAACTCAATTTGTGACTGATAATATCAAGCTGTTTGAAAAAAATAGGTGAGCTTGAGTTTGTCTTAACTACGGTTAACCTCCTATTATTTCCGGTTATAAATAGTCATACCAAGAATTTCTCTATTCAATTCGACCGGCGTTCCGTCACTCAACCGAGTATTATGCAACAAAATGTGACTACCATAAACTAAATTATACAGCCTATCGTTCTTATGACCAAAGTTGATTTGCAGGCAACGCTTGCAGATTGTTGATTACCTTTGGGCTGATAAGGTGTAATCTTTAAATATAGAGAATGTGTAAAACTCAAGTATTCAGTGGTCTTCTCTGCGTATTGTCAACACAAATGAGCAGCGAACTCTATTGATGTGGGTATTTGGAGGCCCCCAAATGCCCTTGTAGCAAACCCATTCAACTATTGTATTTTTCCGTGTGCTCTCTGTAATCCTAACATCTAACCCACTGTAAATTTATGTGTGAGTCTGATGGAGCGCATGTCTGCACATCAATCCTTAATCTGTTCTCTCATTGGTTGTAAACAAAGACAATCAATAATTTATCCACAATCCATTAACACTCAAAAATATATATGGATTTTTAACACTCACACACACGCTTGTTTTCCCGGTGTGCTTGCTATCTGTACGCTTGTAGATTTTTACCGAGCTTCAACAATAAACTATCTCTACAACTGGTGTTCAGGCTTTTGAATAATCTCGAAAAAAACCGTAATTCTACTAGAAGATTTAGCCTGCAGTAAATAATCAGTTAGCGGGATATTATTTATTGCAGGCTAAATCTCCTAGTAGAATTACGGGTTTACTCGAGATTATTCAAAAGCCTGAACACCAGTTGTAGAGATAGTTTATTGTTGAAGCTCGGTAAAAATCCACAAGCGTACAGATAGCAAGCACACCGGGAAAACAAGCGTGTGTGTGAGTGTTAAAAATCCATATATATTTTTGAGTGTTAATGGATTGTGGATAAATTATTGATTGTCTTTGTTTACAACCAATGAGAGAACAGATTAAGGATTGATGTGCAGATATGCGCTCAATCAAACTCACACATAAATGTACAGTGGGTTAAATGTTAGGATTACAGAGAGCACACGGAAGAATGGGCTTGCTACACCCTGGTACGGCCAGAGTGGATATAATTAGCTCTCCCTCTCAAAATGCTCTCACATGACTACGCGTATACGGCCATTCCACGGAAGTCCTACTTACTACTCTCGTGGCAGGAGTGTTGTTTACGAAATTGAGAGGATGAAAAATGAATTACCAGCCCTTTAACCAGGTTGGTGGATATTGAAGATCCACCTAGGGAAGTTGAAAAGCCCTGATTCCAATTCAATGGTGTATATGAGTTCCAGGATCCTGAGAGAACAGATGGTGTATGAACGGACTATTGATCACCGGCTACCATGGGACTGCATCGCCTAACGTTTTTCCACTGCCTTGTGGATCAGACCTTCGTGCCAAAGACTTCAGGTGTAGCCCCCTAAAGAAATCATCTGCTCCGATCTGTGCACCCGGGAAGTATCACAGCCCACACACAAACCAAGTGACTTGTGTGGAGCATATGTATTCGGTGCCCTTTTCTACGAATATTTATGTGCTCAAATAAGTTAAAAAGTAAATAAGATACTTTGAGTATATGATACGACGCACTATACAGGGTAACACGTGCGAAAGGTACCTAGACCGATAGATATCAATCCATGAAAGCCTTGGCCCTTGGTCAAAGCAGTGCAGGATAGTACAAGCTCATTAATTGGTGTCTGAAAGCTAGTTGTTACCTATGGTTAGAGTCGTCGACTAACATGCCTGGATATTTCTTCGTTTTTTTACTTTCTTACCTTTAGTTTGTCACCCCCTGTATTTTAACTCCTTCCCATCTCAAGGATGTAGGGAATTTTAGTGTAGATTGATGCACATTTATGCGCCCAATGTCCTATTAAGTTCCACAGAATAACAACCCTTAAATACGTTCATAAAAATGATACTCCATTGTTTTTCGATAATCATATTTTCTACTACAATTGCATTGCTTTAGTGTGTTGTACTAACGTATGTTCTACGTAACTTTCAGCTCCAGGTTTTGTTCTCAGTGGTCATGCAACTTTATCAGATAAACAAGGTAGGTTATTTATTGTTCTAAAGTTTACGTTTCATAGAAGTACAACTTGACCCCTCAAATTTCGTCCCACTTTCAACTGCAACTCAAACTACAAGATTGAAGAAAACTTTACCAATCAGTTTTGCTGAAGTAAGTACTATTTCCCATCCATTCTAGTGTATGTCAAAAATGTTGTAGATAAGAACGATGTAATACAGAGGTTAGTGTGTTATAAACAAGTATTAGGAGCAATTTACAGATTTTTTTGCCAGTCAGTTTCTAACGGATTAATTTTCGATGTATAGAATCTCTACTAGGTTGGATCACATTTCGCACCTGTAATCTACTTCAAGAAGATATTTAGCTACTAGTCCTAAACGGATATACAACACGTCATTCTGCCTCATGCTACAACACTGATTTATTGCAGCCCATGCACTTCCAAACAGTAGAGGATTTCCATAGCAGTCAGCATTCCAATTATATATGTCTTTAATGTATTTCATGTGTATGATAGAGTTAGGGTTGAGATTAATCACAATCTAACTTATTTACTGAATATAGATATGTATGGTCACATTTTAATCACTGCACTTGTGAGTGCTAATGATAACACTCGGCTGCTCAAAACGTAATGGTGGGACAAAAACTGAACTTCAGTAAAATTTACCAGCTAGGCTTTATGATCGTTTGAATGAACTGTTTTTCGGTCCGCGCATTTTTACCAAAATTTCTACTTTTTATAAAATATACTTTACGTATTTAGGTTTCTCGCTCTGGTGCACTCAATGTTGTTGGTCCAGATCGCGTTGCTCATTTCTCGCGAAGTCCTCCGAAACCGACAAATCCTAAACGCTTCGATATCAATTCCGAATCTTGGCCTACCTTAAGCAAAACTTCGAAAAGCTGAAGAAATATATTTAAGAAAAAAATTGACTAGTCTCTAGTTTAGTCAGTCGGACAAAAAACTCGAGTGCCTGGCAAACTATATTATATGTCCCAAATGGAAGAGAATTTTTTCATGGCTTGCCAAGCCAAACTTGACATATTCTTCAAATGAAATGTCTATTACTCCTACTTAACAAGTAAATGGATATGCTCACAAATTAGTTATTTTTTCAACTGGTCATATCAGCCTGGTTGCTTAAGGTTGTGCATAGCAAAGCATCCAGTTCTTACATTCTGTAGTCAATCTTGTTTAAATGGACAAACTGCAAAAGCCTTAGATGACAGTTAAGTTATTTGGTTCCCAGAAAAGTATGACCATTCATTAAAGAGTATAGTAAAAAAACATACAAGCTTAATTGACAATATGTTTGAAACTAGGGCGTACAAAATACATTCTGTTTGTCTCCCTCACAAGAAATAACAAAGTATGTGAGTTTCTTTTCTGATACCTCATCTGTAGAAAATCACGTTGACAGTCTATCATTTAAATAGAATTATCATGTTCCGAGTAATTACATTACGCCAAATCGTTAGGTAAGTGTATCAATGGAACGGCACCCGACTAAAAATAAGAAAAAACGGAACAAACTTTAGTGATAATTTATTTAATGGAAAAAGAATGTTCCCTTGCTTTCTTTTGTGTACATCGCTTTTCGTATTTATCTTTAAAGAAGATGACTTGAAGTATATATATTACGAACAGAGAAGTTTCATACACGCTCCTCATAGCAAAAGCGTAAATACATGATCACTATTACAAAAATTTACTCAATACGGGACAACTTGAAATTTCTTTAATATTCTCAAATTACATTTCTTCAATGAATGTAGACGTTAACGTGAAGCCCTTGTTTGACTTCATCGACCTATCTCAAACTAAATTACACATTAAACAAAAGGTCAAATCAATGAACCATTTGGCGACCGATCGCTCTTAATATCACTTAATATGAAAACTTACCATGAATCCCATCATCGGTCCATCTAATTTTCGTGTATGTGGTGCTATTCTTGAAGAAAACTGACTTAGGCATGCTGAGAATCCAATGCATGTTTCCCACGGCATATGAATTAATGTGACTCCGAAATCTTTCCGCCATGAATCAACCAACTGTGCTGTATTCCTGTAATTGAAGAATAAAAAGAGTTGTCTTTATGATAAAAGCAAGCAAATTAAATTGATAGTTTGAAGAATAAAACCCCTAGGCTAAGTAAATAAAACTGCTAAAATTGTAGAGTTGTATAAAAAGGAGCAGAAGTCCCCAACGAGCTAACCCTTTAAAATGGTGAGACAATTATTCAGTGTCTATATACCTTCGAACTAACTGGGCAAATCCACTATGCCAAAGAATCCTCTCTATTTATGGCAGTTAATATTACATGATTGATGTAGATTTAAAATCCACCTGATACTGAAGATCCTACAACAGAATAATAAGTGAAAATTCGCATGTTAGTATTTATGGTCTCATTGTGAAAGATTCCTTTACAATTAGGAAACACTCCATCCAGTTAGTGAAAACTTCACAAGAAATAGGCAGGGATGGATGGTGATTAGCACTGTATTCCAGGATGCGCGATTTGTCTTATTTAGGACTCGTCAGTTAGATGTACCTGTATTCCAGAATTGATGTTCAAACAACCAATTCAATTGAAATAGTTATCTAAAAATATGGACGAAATAATGTAAGTCCACAAAATATGTAAGTAATTTGCCAAATGCGTGTTTCGTGTATTCAGTTTTGGGACAGTGTGATAAGTCATTAAAAAACTATTCAATACCCGAAACCGAAATAGTTGTACCAGGGTTCGGATCTTTAACCCAGTGGTTGTAAAGGTTAAGTATTTTGACCACCACGCAACCGCTTCATACTATTGTCTAAGAACCTAATTACGACCAATTTCTTAGTTTATGCACTAACTAAATTCATATTCGAATTTGAAGTCATACAGCTTTGTAAACAGATGATAAGATTTTGACAAGATCTAATCCAAAAAACGAATATGTTCAAGGCATTCGGACAAAGTCATATTGTGCACTCATGAAAACTCTGGGTAGTACCAAAACATTTTCAACGATGATAAATGATTATTATCTACCAAAAATTTATACACTGTCTAGTGACTAAAAACAACTGCAGCTCCGATGATTCTCAACCTATTTATTCAATGTCATATTACGTAAACTGTTGTAAGGGACAATTTAACTATGATGTGAGGAAATTCGGAAACTATTTTTCCAAGATTTTATTTATATATATTGATTTCATGTTCATTGAGTATTTTGGTTCTGGTATTTACATACAAGCTTTTTATTTGAACGGTAAATTGTTGCTATAGCCTTTTCCACTCAGACTAGAACCGATTACTTGTGTACCTAGTACTCAGTTTTTTCCCCATTAATGTTGTTGCTCAGTGTTAATACTATTACTCAATTGGTCTGCTGCATAGTCTGGTCTTGAATGCATATAAGTTGATGTCTGAAACATAATAATGATTTTGGACCGGTGATTATTGGTCTTCTGTTCTTTCTCTTCGTTCGGAGCTAGTTATTATTGGGACAACCGTCAAATATAGAGTATCAGTCCTCCTTGTCCTTGCTGCGTATTAATTGCTTAAGGTTGTGACATAAACTAACTGGCAAAACACCAGATAGATAATCAAAACATTGAAAATTGCTTACAACTGGTAATACTAACAAACCGTAACTTGCTAAGTAGAAGATATTTGAAGATCCCCAGTTGAGAGGACAAAATAACTTTTCGTTTTTTAAATTTCCAATAGTTTTTCGAAGTTGATATCAGACGTTGGTAGGAGCCTCTTTCACGTTTATCAATCCCCTAAAAACTCTTCAACATTCTCTGAAGTCATACACTGCCTGCCTAGCTTTTTCTTTCGTTAATTTTAATCAATAACAGACCACTACTAGTTTACTACATTTCATACCTATGGAGCAAAAAGTAGTATTTCAACATTTGTGTAACAACATTGCATTGATCAATTATTAAGTAGTGGCCAATGTTACGTCTGACTAGCTTTTGGTGCCCACTGAATTCTATCGATCAACAAGTTGCACTATTTTTTGATGTCATATAGTTGGAAGTACTCAACGGGAAACCTAGGACTTAAATTCCATGCTACTTGGTACCTGTCAGTAAGGCATGTTTGAAATCGTGTGTCTACTCGGTCGAATAGAATTCGATTAACACTAAGGATTAAACAAACACGATATTGGTCATTACTTAGAGACCAATCAGTGTGAATATTTCAGTTCTAAAGAAAGCCAATCACAATCCAAATAGCTCCGTAGTAACAATTCAAATTGTGGGTCTGTGTGATGCGGGAGCATCACTTCTTTGAATATTACAGGTTCACCTTAATGTTGAGTGACAACATGGACAAAATATCGGCCCAGAATTTCCTGAAGAATACCTTCAACCACATTATATTGCTTCTTCAATATAATTGAACGGAAAGTCGAATAAAGTGGAAAGTTTGTTTTCTTAGAATGAACAATTTGTTTATTTACCAAATACATATCATTCATTATTTTTCTACTTCACTTAATGTAATGGATGTTACCGAAATGTAATATAAAGACCCTGAAACATCGACTTAATTTTATTAATATTAAAAGAGATTTCAAAAAAGAACAACTTACAATGAACAATTACTATTTGGTAAAAGTTGTTGATAAAATACACGACGACAAGCAATCGGTTCAATTTTCACAGAATGTACAGTATTTTGTTCATCCTTTCCTAATGAACTCTCATTAACATCAATTGTAGGTGAAGTACAATCTTGTAAAGCAGTTGTATATAATCTTAATTTTTGGTCAGGTAACCAGAGCTAATAATTACAAAATTTTATCAAAAAAAAAAAGGAAAACTGGATTATTTTTTAAAAAGAAATAACACTAATAATAAAAACTTTGAAGTTCACTTTTAAAATTCACTACTCCTGATGACCCTGACAAATACAAAAATCACGTGACCAGGTGACAGATGTCTGTTTCATTTGTACACAATGAGATGATTGAAATCTTTCAAAAGTTTGGGTTATATGGTTGATTTTACGGATTGAATTTCAACTATCTGATGATTAATTATGATATATGTTGTCAGGTTATATATATATAACCGCAGGTCGTTTAGAATTTAAACCCGAAAAATTTGTATCTATAATGTGAACAGAGATTTAATCTAGGTTACAACTTTTCAATGTTCAAATCACTTTTATTACGATTAACACGATCTATTTTGAATTACATATGATGAACAGTAGAATTAAATAATATAACTTCTTGACATATTGTTATATGTTTCACTAGACAAGAATAACAACCAATTATTTAATTAAGTAGATATTGGTAAGATTAGTTTGATAGGAGGATAGTTTCAATGAGGAACTACGGGAAGTCGAGTAAGCAGTGAATCGTAACTGATGTGATGAAACAGTTAGCACCGATAATAGTGCGTGACACCTGGTAAAATATTACTAACTGATTGAGGATGGAAATATGAACGTAAGTACTACACTAACTCATTGATCCATAGTTTTTATGTTACTCTACAATCTGGTATTCTCTGACCACGATAATTCACTTGACTCTTCCTAAATCAGAATAATAACAGAGAGAGAACAAGGTGCATACTGATAACCCAAATAAAGAGTTGTAGGAAAATATGAAAGCATACAATAGTTAGGAATCTAGTCTGTTAACATTTTCCTTTATAAATAAATTCGTAGGATATATTATTCAGATCCACTTGCATCAAACTGTCTAGTGTACGCTTATAGTTTATCCTCGGGCTGGAAGGTACTGTACGCAATGGTCAGTGAATGTTTTGTGTATAGTTTTAACTCATGCTTATACATATTGGTATGTGAATACTTTTCTTTTTCTCAAAGCTCCATAAACTAACTTGATGAGGATCAATGAATATATAGGAAAAAAAAGACAAGTAATACACTACAAACATAGTTTTTCGACTAAGATACTTCAAACTAGCTCCATGCAGAAACAAGTAGTCAGTAAAAAAAGGAATGAAATACCTCAGGTGTATCATTTTTCCATACATTATCTTAATATTTCCAAGAATGACAATTCATTGCCAACAATTTCAGAAAAAAACCCAACTTATTCCATAGCCGGATTTATTCCATGGTTGATGTAACTGATTTACATCTTATAAAAACCAGCTAAAGAACAATGGGTTATCTATTTTAAAGATTTTAAACAAATTGGCAGCATTCAAGTCAACTATTTGATAATACACATAGTCAAATGAATAGATTCTTGTTACATATAAATAAAAAATAGTCTACTGTGTTGATATATGATCTATAAGAATAATTCAAGTTTTTTTTCTCTCTCTATCTCCCTTTGTAATCTATCAAATTTACCATCAAATCAATAAATTCCGATGTTGAAAATGAACATGAAAATCGATGTTAACAAGTACACAAAACAGCATACGTTGAAAATTTTGCAATTAAGAAAATATCTCATTGGTATGCAGTTATTTCGTACTAGTTTGAATGAAAGAGAAAAGGGGGGAATACTGTAGTTTATGATCGGTTACGACCACTATACATATTATGGAACCTGAGATCTTTGAGTGATAGTTGTGGAAAGGATTTATTCTTAGATAAAGTCAAATAAATTTCTAAGAAAACTTATTTTATTTACACTCATTATCATGGTAGTATCTGTACAAATCAATCGTTCGCATAAAAGCCGCCTATAGGCAAGCGGTTACTTTCGGAGACAAAATTTCATATCACTGCTCATTCAGTTCAATTCATCAGCGTAAATCTTACCAATAAGAAAATGTGATTAAATAGCCATTATTGGCGGCCTGTTTAAACATCTGGGCTACCTGTTCCTGTCATCTAGATATTTCAACAAGTTATCTAATTTCGTTTGTTTTAATACATCATTATGCCTATTAATCGCACAACGTATTCAGGTGCGTTTCTGAAAAGTGTAAGACCTTTCGCTGTAAAGGTTACAGAAAGCCTAATCAGAGATATCGTGGCTGCTGGGAATATGCAGCGAGAAAAAAGTACATTATCCAGATGTCGATTGACTGGGCTGCTAACTTTTCACTGGCGATTGCTCAATATTTATCGTCAGGAAGGACGAAGAAGTAAGAAACAGAAACTTATCGAAGTACTTTCTGCTGAGAATTCTATATTGTACCAAAAACATAATATTGAATAAAGCTAATAATAAAGATAAAAATCCTAATATTAATTAATTTGCAATATTCTCAAGAGATGTGAAGCGCATAAAATTAGCATCACATATATTTTCTCTCTAAAAATAAACAACTTACTAACATAAAGTCTAAAAGTCCATCCCACGTGATAGCTGATAAAATAACACGATATTGAGTATTTCTTATTAAATTATCAACTAGAAGACCATAAAATTCCATTTCATCAGCTCTGATTGAAAGAGAGAAATAAAATGTCTTTAAATTGACCTATTTTAAAAATCAAATAAAGGTAGTGTGTTATGACTGAACAAAAACTGATGCAACAACGTAAAGATGATAGATGAGAGTTTTTAATACACAAAAAAAACAAATCAAATTATATCTGAATACACACAAATTCTTACATTCTTCATTTATAATAATCAATAGTTATACGGGACCAGTCAAATATCGCTGAGCCCTAGCTGAATCTTACGTCGACCTGGACTATCTATACAATAGAAGACTGGAGGTCGAATTGTTGACCGAAATTCATCAAGGTCAAGCATAACTTGCGCGGATTAATTCACACATGCTATGAAACTAGTGTAAACGTCTTTTAGTTAGTGCTTAACTTCGCCATTATCTACGTATTAAAATAAATTAATTATGTAGTAAGATTCTATTGGTTTTTGCGGACACTAATGAAGCACAATAGCCTGACCACCACGTTAGACAATTGTCAGTGGTGTGACATTAACGTAAAATTAAGTATGTTGAACATTCATATTACTCCTGTTCAACTCTAGTCAACTAAAATCTACAGTTACACTGAAATAAATTAAACTGAGTAGCACTTAACATTAATTAGTTACGATAATGTAGTAAGAAGACAAAGATTGTCAGAAAGATGTGATATATTAGCGCAATATATTTCGAACAATCTGATCACACATATACTGGTTAAGAACATTTATATATAAAAATAAAAGGTCAACTAGACTGGAAATGGGGGGTAAGAATAGATAAGGATAATAATAATAAAAATAATGTGGAAACAATTTGAAACCTAATCACTCTGGATAATAAGGTAATATTACCAGGGTAGGTTTAAGGTGTCAAATTGTTTTCACATTTATACGAATATTCGTCAAGGTTAGAACGAATAGTTTGACAATAATTGGGCGCCGAGTATAGAAAAGTCATTATATGTGAAAAAAATATATTTGAAATAGTCTCAGCGATTGAAATTTAAACTTCTTCAGGGAAGTCCAGACAAGTTAGCTGGACGAAACGTTGGAATTATTTAAATTTCAATCGCTGAGACTATTTCAAATATATTTTTTTCACATATAATGACTTTTCTATACTCGGCGCCCAATTATTGTCAAACTATTCGTTCTAACCTTGACGAATATTCGTATAAATGTGAAAACAATTTGACACCTTAAACCTACCCTGGTAATATTACCTTATTATCCAGAGTGATTAGGTTTCAAATTGTTTCCACATTATTTTTATTATTATTATCCTTGTCTATTCTTACCCCCATTTCCAGTCTAGTTGACCTTTTATTTTTATATATAAATGTTCTTAACCAGTATATGTGTGATCAGATCGTTCGAAATATATTGCGCCAATATATCATATAGTTTTGATAATCTTCGTCTTCTTATTACACTATCGAAATTTATCAAAGTGACTAATCGCTTTAAATTAATTAGTTAAAAAATTAATATCTGAATACAACCTGGACAGTAGTTAGTTAACTGTTGAGTGCTTGAATTTATCACTTACAAATCCGCATCCTGGGATTAATTTGCTTTACTGCCCAACAAATTTAGTTGGACTTGGCATAACATAAAGTGCATTGAGAAACATGATACAAGACTGAAATCAGTATTCCACATTATCTAGAATCTGAGATCACTAATCGTGCGGACCACAACTAGCTAGTTCACACTTACCAGTATGGAACAATCTAACAGTTGTCAATCAGTCAGCTACAACGTAGGGTCAGGTACATATATGCATCGGTCCAAGTTGTCATACCTCATTAGCACGACAAGATGAACACCAAATTCATAGAAGTAGTTAATTTAGTGGTGGTATTATATGAAAGAAAGATTGTAAATATAAGGATATAGTAGTGGAAGACAGATATGAAGCAACTTTAATCTCACGGTTTAAGGGAAGACAAAGAGTGTATACACCTGCTCCATTGTGATCGATTCTGAGCCATGTCACCAACAGCCTCCAACCATTGGTTACGATAGTCATGCGGACTACAAACAAGTAGTCTGCATCTACCAACATGGTTCAGACTAGAAGTTAGTGACTTCAAGCACTGATGCCACGTTTTGGTTTCGCTACCCCTAACTCTCTTCCAATTATCGCTAATACTATTCAGCATAGCGCGTCGTGGTAATCGGTGTTCAGGCATACGTAACACGTGACCCAATCATCTCAGTCGATGAAGATTCATGAATTTAACAGTTGATGACTTCATGGATTTAAAGCTACGCTTTTATTCAGAAGATTATGTATGTAAGTTCTGGATATGACATCAAAAAATCACTTGAAGATCTTAAACTAGGTTATTTAAACCAAGATCACGCACGGTAGTACACTGAATGGGGAGTATATTTTTATACTCATACAATTGCTTTGTTGAATTCCATGTCATAAAAAAAGTTAACCTACAAACTACATGCTACTACTAAGTAGTATACGTAATATAACTAATGTTTTATGTCACCAAAATTCACGATTTTACTTCAGTCCACTGGAATGAATGCTATCTATCCAAAAGTAACATTAAGTTAGCTTTGAAGTATCTAAGAAGCTGTGTTTTTAACCGGCGACAAATAGAAATCACTATATAAATCAAGAATATTACATGAGATCAGTTTATAACATATCTGTACAACAAGCAAAACATGCAAACTGGGGACAAAAATTAAGCAAACCAAGAATCCACAAATTAAAAACGCTACACAGAAATAACGTATGATATCTCTTAGTTCCAACGATTAGAATCTCACGTCTCCAAAACTTGGTTTCAAAAATTCTCAACTTATTTTACAGTTGCACAATAATCCTAACCAATAGTTAGAAACATTAGAGGGTATTTTTTGATTGATCGCCTAATATTCGTGTTGTACGTTGTACTATTTAAACTTGGATTAATGTTAATTTGGTCATTTATTTTTTGAAGAAGTGGCTTACACTGAGTCACGAAACTTCAGAAAGTCTAATTTTTCTACTCATTGGGATATTACAAATATCTTATTTATTTATTAGAGGGCATTGTTCAAAATCGGACATAGTACAGTAGATGAATTTATTGTTTACCTTTCTGTAATTTGTCAGCTTTAATATTAATCCGTTGTTTCATATTCTTTAACTTTATTCATTCTCTTAGATTTATATACTCTACATTTAGTGGTACTACTATGTTAACTTTGATATTTCTCTTACTGTCCTTATCTAGTACTGTTGATGTTGTAAATAATTGGACCGATGCACATATTTCCTGAGTTCTATGTTGTTTCTAGTTGATTGATATGTAAAGAGTTGGACAGTACATACGTGATTCCACCAGTCAATTGACTGGTGTCAGTTTGCATTGTAAATCTGTTTGATTTTCCTGAGAACCCGACACTTCATCTTTGATTCGCTTTAAAGAAAATTTGCATTACCTTTTTACCCACAAAAATCCAATTTTTTTCAGGTACATATGACGTGTAGCATTTCTGGCTAATACCACCTCAAATGTTCTGTTATACATTGAGTAGCATTACATAGTAAAATATTCTCCAACGTATGTCGGAGGTGGGACAAATCACATCTGATCTTCAGTCGTTAAAAACATTCAGTATTACTTAACAAAATCACGCCTTGACAATTCAACACCTAAATCACTGTTAATATAGAATAAAGAGGACAATTAATCAACGAGAAATAGGTAGACGCGATTACTGGATATTTTATCAATTACTTGACGCAAAATTGATAAGTGATTTTTAATTATTTTACAATGGTTAAAAAAGTTAACTATAATGAATGTAGACAGATGTGGTTGCTAAACATACTATCGAACTAAAAATAAATATAAAAGGAATAAGGATATATTCCCAACTTACATTAACGGCTTTTCAATGTAACCAATAAAATCACCATCAATATCATTTTCTCTAATTAGCAAACTTAAACAATTAGCCCAAAATACAAAGTACTCTTGAGAGCCATACAAGACTAAAAAATGCATGAAGAAAGTGACAAAAGTGAGAAAATTTAACTACATTTATAAAGAAAAAGGCAAATATTATCAATATGGAGCCCGGCATATATGTATATTGACCTTGGTTGTCGTATCGCATTAGCATGTAGTGACTTACTTTTGTGTAGAAAACGCGATTGGCATAATGGAAACAATTATTATTATCACCAATTGTACCAGTGATTGTTTTACTGTACTTGTTTGTTTAAGTGTACCAAAGACACACATTCTTCCGTTGCCTGTGACCTTGCACGAACTCGCTTACGCTCAGTAGTTCCGCTTGTAAAATTTGGCACGTCTCGGTATTCTTTCGATACTACGAGATCGCCAACAAATATATCTTATTGCAACCATCTACAGCCTTCTGGTTTTTGGCCTACGGAGGGATCGAACTCGATTTCTGGCACGTAATCTTCCTGTAGTGGTAATCATAGTCAATCGCGACTCGACGCCATGCACAAGCACACGATGAAAATAACAAAAGAGACCTAAATGAAGTAATAGCGATGACAACGAGAAAACCTCAGTCCTGAAAATATGGTTTGAAATGACAGTTATGTATGACGGAATCAGAAACGGTCAAATTAGAGTCAAATTTCGGGTCACTAAAGAAGTGAGCTCGTCGATAATAATGTCCTATCTGATTAGCGTCAGAATAACGAGCCACTAAAAGATAATGAATCTATTTTGACCACTGTGAATGATTCTGAGTCATATCACTCGAAGTCTCCAACTACTACTGGTCAGTTATCTTGCGGACCTCATTATTATTTTATTTTATTTAAACACATAAATATTGGTACAAAGAAGCACTAGATAAATATGCGCCTCACAAATCTCATTTGATTTATGTGAGGGCTCTGATACTGCCCAGGTGCCCAGACTGAAGCAGGTGGTTTTATTAGGGAGCCACACCCCAAATACGGACCTCATACAGGTAACCTGCTTCTACCAGCATAATTCACATTACCAGTGAGTTCGTGGACTTGTGCCTTCTAGCTCCCATCTAACCTAGTTCCAGATAAACAAACATCTCTCGTCAAAGTATGTCTTAGGCATAAGTAACGCATGTCCCAACCACCTGAATTGATAAAGATTTTTAACATCATCAACTGGTTAACGACTTTGTCCGAAACCCTAATTCTAAATTTAACACTTACGAAAAAGGATAAATAGCTGAGTAAAGCATTTTATAGTCGTTGACTATATCAGCATTTACTCTACACTCAAAGGTTGGATGTTGGTAGTCAAGATTGATCTGACATCACTTAGAAAACACCCAAAACTTAAATAGTTTATGCATTCTTAGTTACAGACTTATTTTGTTGCATGAAACAAACTTTAGAAGTTAATAAAGCCAAAATAATATGGGATAAGTAAACTGACACTCTTTAGTTGATTGTAGGGAAATAAGTGCTTCATTAATAATGATAAGAAATAACTCTATGAACGTATAAAAAGTAACTGAACTATGCATGAGCTCCGAAATTCGTTTGAAAACAGCGAATAAGGACACAGACAACAGACAAATGTACTGCAACAATCAATAAAAATGCATATATTGAGAAATAAGAAATTTCTTTATTCGCACCTCCCTCGATAGTAATCTTCTGAAATTAATTTCGAGAAATCAATGAGTTTGTTTGATATGTCGAATTTCAGACACATTTTTGTACCAAGTCCTAGCCTCTCACTGTAGAATATATTGTTAAGCAAATAAACACATTAAAGAGTAAACAGATAATTTACTGTCATACATTCCAGTCACAAAGGAAATGGGATTTCACTCAAATGCATAACAACTTGAGTTACAACACTTGAAACCAGTGCAGAGAAAAAAGTAACAAAGCAATAGCCAAGTAGTTGAAACGGTTATATTAAAGCTAATGGGTGACTAAATAGGAAATACAGTTCAGCTGTTTTGGTAATTTATTTGAATGATTATCGATGTTAATTATCTGATAAAAATCATGGGTTTAAGAACACAACAACCTATAAGTCACAAACTGTCGAAACCATTCGTATAGTTTTGGTTCTATAAATACCAAGAATTTTCTTAATATAAGATATGGTGTATGGTACTCTACTGAGTAATCAGACAATCTGAGACTTAAAGCCTAAACTAGGAATCTGTACTTCAGATGTATGATAGAAGTACTGGCACGGAAACGGACGCATGTACGTTGGAAGTAAAGCATCCCACTTGAGTTCCATAACCAAAACTAAACACACAGCAACAATTATAACTCGACAAAAATGGGAAAAATCCGATGTATTCACGTTTTCTCATGACAAATACAGTGACCAAGAGAGAAATAATCGGTCAGAATAAAGTTGACTTGGACTCAAAATAGTGAGGAACTAGTGTTATTTATTAGTCTTAAGTAATACTTATAAAGTATTTGTTTCGAAGTTGTAGCTTGTTGTCAGTTCATAAAGGCGACAAATACATTACTAGCAGTACAGCGTTTTACCACTGAGCTCACTTTTGGGTTTGTACGACTTCAAAAACTGTTAATAGATTTGGACTATTTATTTTACAGAAAACAACTAAAATTATCTAACAAAATATTTTCCGATTGTTAATATATCAACTTTTCACTAAAAACAACAAAAAAATTGTGATCTGTACCTTTTTTCCCCAAAGCCATCAAGCAACTAGAACAATGAAAGAAATCGTTTCCTTTGGATTGTATGGACTTTGGTTCAACCAACGAACGGTCTATCATTAGTTCTAAACCAGTAAACAAACAGCTAGATGGAGAGGCCAAATCGAAATTAACTGGAAAAGTCTGCGTATTTACAGAGTTAGTAGCAGAGTCCCCAACGCTTTTTGTAGTTGGATGACAGAAGTAGCCACCTTCAATGCATAAACCTTCATCTTCCAGAGTGATAAATTTCTGGAAGTTAATAGTACAAGTAACATCTCTAAAACGTGTATGTGAAAATGATTCGCTTACTGTATATTTCCTAACTTCTGTTGGCAAAATTTGCAAAGAATGGAATCAGCTGCATTAAGGTTACTCTTAATTTTACTTAATTTAATTATGTTGTCATTGGTATGGCTGCTATACGACGCATTAAATCTGCACGACAAAGTACCGTCATTAACTAGACAAAGATTTTTGCACGTCATGCACGATATATTCAATCCATTTAGTGTCACTTGATGAGTTTTATTGGCATTCTGAACCTCAATAGTATCTGAGTACACATTAATGTGACACGACCTAAACACGAAAGTATTAGTATAGAATAACTCAAACCCTGTCTCTTTCATGCGGCAGTAGGTTACATCTAGACTTTTGCTATTATCAACGGCTTCAGCAAATAGCATTAAAGTTGAATAATGTAATGTCCTGTTTCCAATATGAATTTTAATTTTAGGCGAGTAGACGTGATATGAACAGGAGTTTAGTTTACTTCAGTTTAACTGCGACAGTTGACTCAAATAATTAGGAAATCTACAAGGGAGAACGATACAAAGATCTAGCTGAGTACGGGACTTACGTAAAAAAGCTACAGAAAAAACAAACTCTCTGTATGGGCGATTTGGAAGTGTTAAAATTTATAAACACAAATCCAGGAAAACTGCAACTAAAAATCCAGGAGAATATGTTTTGAAAGAGTTTTACGACTTTTCGACTATGCCCAAATGGCTTTAATGAACGCGGTGTTGTCACCCTCCAAGCTAGTAGCGGAGAATTTGATTTCAAATGGTTCAAATGGTTGAGGACGGAATAGAAGAAGCTTTCGCTTAACGGGCTTCCGTGTCTGGTAGCAGTGGATCACCAATACCTCCAGGCAAGAACCTAGGTATATGAACGATAATAGAGGGAAAAAAAGTATTTGGTAAATCATAATAATATGTTATCCTTAGTCCTTAAGAATAAGTCAAGTTTTCTCTTAAAGGACTCCTGGGAGGTCGCTTGGACTAGCTCAGTCGGCAGCGAATTCCAGCACTTGACAACTCTAACGGAGTAGAAGTTGTGTCTGCAGTCTGTTCTGCTATGTAGGGTCTCCAATTTCTGGGTGTTACCTCTGAGGTTAGTGTTATGACTAAGCTTAAGAAGTTGTTTAAGGGGATGACCAGAAGTATTAAGGATACTATAAGTCATAAGAAGATCACCTCTAAGACGCCTATACTCTAACGGGTAAAGGTTAAGTGATTTGAGGCGCTCTTCATAAGGTTTGAATTTGAGTCCCCGAACTGATTTCGTGGCTCGACGTTGTATACGTTCCAGAGTGACCTTATCCTTTTGGAGGGAGGGAGGAAATACTATGTTTCCGTACTCTAAGTGGGGACGAATAAAACTGTTGAAGATTATGTGGAAGGTTCTACCGTCAAACTGGCCAAAAATGCGCTTCAATGTTACCAGTGCAAGGTTTGCTTGAGAGGCGTTTTTGTCACAGTTCGCATACGATTTCAGGTCGTAGGGTACCAACACTCCTAAATCTTTTTCAACTTGGGAAACTTCTAGAGGTGAGTTACCTAAGTTATAACTATAGTCTGCAACATGTCTCAGATGGACTACCTTGCACTTTGAAGTGTTGAAGGTAAGTCCGTTGTCGTCTGCCCAACTTTGAAGTCGAGTCAGATCCTCCTGAAGAACTAGTATATCATTGTGATTACGTATCTCTCTCCAAAGTTTCACATCATCAGCAAAAAGCAATAAATCAGATGAAACTTGTTGAGGAAGATCGTTAATATAAATCAAGAAGAGAAGAGGTCGTAGTATTGAGCCCTGGGGGACCCCACTAGGACATTCCATAGCCTGAGAGAGAGTGAAGTTAACCCTGACCTTAAAATGTCGGTTTTCTAGGTATGAAGTGATCCAGTCAATTAAAGGGGGTTTTATACCCAATCGCCCAAGCTTCTTGATAAGACATGCATGGTTGACCCTATCAAAAGCTTTTGAGAAGTCCAGGTAGATGACGTCAACCTTCCCCTTGCGATCAAAGATGGTTGTCCATCTATCCACCGCCGTCAGCAGGTTGGTCATACAAGAATGACCTTTTCTGAAACCATGCTGTTGAGGCGAGAAGAACTTTGAGGATGATAAGTGTTCTAGTATGCCGTCGAATACTAGGGATTCCATAATTTTTGAAGGTATGGAGAGAAGGGCCACTGGTCGGTAGCTTGAGGGTTCACTGCGTCGACCTCCTTTGAAAATTGGTGTGATGTGGGCCAGCTTCCATATTTCCGGTAGTTTGCCTCTGCTTAGCGAGTGTGCAAACATCACGCTAAGTGGTGTCGCCAGGATTGAAGCTGCTTCCCTCAATACAGCGGAATGAACCATGTCCGGACCAGGAGAAGTGTCTTTTTTTAGGTTCTGCAGTTTACGGAGCACCAAGTCAGCACTCAGGTCCACTTCGGAAAGTCCTGTACAGGTGCAGGTGAAGCTTTCGTCAGTATGGTTGATGTGGGTCAGCTGGAATGTCCGGGAGTAATGTTCAGCCAAAAGGTTAGCGGCATCACTGTCGTTGTTGGTCGGGCCATTAGGACCAAGCAGTTGGGAAACTCCAGTTTTGCCTTGTCGAAGAGAAGCTGCATAACTGAACAAGCTTTTCGGATTGGAGACGAATCTATCGATAAGCTTGGTCTGGAACTGAAGCCTGTCTTCTTTTATTGCCTTTGTGCATATGTTCCTTATATGTTTGTATTGCCTGTACGCGCCGTTGTTATCAGTTCGTTTATATTCAGCCCAACAGTGCCTTTTTGCGGCTTAGCAAACGACGAGTGCGGTTCTTGATGATTGCAGGTTGCTTGTAGCTTTTTGGGACCATTTGAGGAACTGAATGCTCAGTAGCACATAAGATCGTGTGCAGTAAAAAATCCCAATGATCATCCACTTCAATTTGAGGGTGAACATCCCAATCCAACTGTTGAAGATAGTCCTGTAAAGCTAACACATTCAACCGCTTGAAGTTCCAGCGCTTGTTGCTAGTAGGATATCGTAGCTCCGTCTTGCTGACAAAGCTGAATTATAAGACGGCGTGATCACTTTTCCCCAGGGGAGCCAGGATTGAGAGGTCGTCAACTAGGAATTCTTCGTTTGTGAATACCCAGTCTAAGCGTGACGGCGTCTGACTGTTTCTCCAACGAGTTGCCGACTTCACATTTTCAAATAATCCCAGGTCGCCGAAAAGGTTGAAGAACAGAGCTTCAGTAGAGTTGGCACCACCAATGTATGTATGTTCCACGAAGTTGATTCTAGGGATATTGAAATCCCCTAGAATCAGGATATGAGAGAATCCGAGACGCGTAGAGCGAGTTAATCCTTCCAGCAGACGTTTGTCATATTCGATGTCGGCAGTGGGCTTCCTGTAAACGACCCCAACTAGGCACCTCGAGGTGGTAGATAATCTTACTGAGCACCATACTGACTCGTCAAGATTGTGAAACTCTTGGTTGTGAAGTTGGTGCGCATCCAGGCATGACTGTACGTATAGTGCTACCCCACCCCCCATTCCTGTTTTTCTGTCGTTGCGAAATAAAGACATCCCAGTTATTGCTAACTCTTGGTCCGTAAACTGAGACGTTATCCAAGTTTCGGATATTCCTATCAGATGGGCATCATTAGCGTTGCTAAGTTCACGTAGCTCATCCATTTTGTTTGGCAAGCTCGCGGCGTTCGTGTATAGGCAGTTTATGCTTTCAATTTGGAACGCGTGAGCCTCTTCTTGTTTGTCTATATGAGCCGTGTGTGAGTGGACAGGTAGCCTACCTATACGATGTTTACCGAGTTGGTAGTCCCTGTCCTTTACACGTTTTTTTTATGATCAAGACAGTCAACGAGTGGAATTGTCAGCTCCAGCTTTCGTTTGTGCTTGATCCTGCTGTCGTGGGGCCTATCCGGATGCATATGGATGCCAGTTGGCAACCGACGTCTATTGGCACGAAATGCCTCCAGAGTTGCAGCCGCCATGTGAGAGGAGGGGAAGGTTATCTTCAGCAGCCGGGGCCTAGAGTCTCCGTCTCTCTTGGCCAGTCTCATTACCTGTTGGGTCAATATGTTCTTGAGTTTTAAGGAATGCTTGATGAATTTCCATTCCCGAATATCAGAGTTTGCTTGAGCTGGGTCCGTATTTTCCGGCACACCCTGCACAATGATATTTCGTCCACGGAAGAACGCCTCGCGAGATTCCTTAGGGATGTTCCGGATGAGATTTCGTTCAGAATACGGTATGTCGGGCAGTATTCTTACGTTCCCATCGGACCTCAGTAAGTGACTGGCTAGCAGGACGTCCTCCACGTCGGTGGCATTCTTAAGTGTAACACGAAGTAGCCTCGGGTGGTTTAGGTGGTTAGAGTCCTTCCCCCGAGTGAGCCGTGTGACGGTCAAAGGCTCTATTCTAGGGAGTTCAAGCCTCTTCATTAATAGTTCACTTCGATAGGCGTTATTATACCAATTTTAACGGTGTATAACATCAGTGGCAACTACATTTTTATTGATAAATGATTCAGACTAGAAAGATGACACGTATTGGAGATGACTGGGAAGCCAACTCGAGAGTGAAGCAAAAATAATGCGTATTGGAGATGGCGTGGAAGCCAACTCGTTTTAAGCAAGCGTTAATTATTATTTATAGCCAGATAAAAATGAATGACAGGCATATAATGAATAAGATACGAAGTGTGCACACATATACGCTCATATAAAAAGTACTCAAGGTTAATAAGCGAATAATGAACAAGATCAAAATATAACTCATAATGTATAGGTGAATTAGCTTGGCCAGAAGCTAGAATAAAGTATATGCGCTTAACATATAAACTGATACTACAATCTATCCAACCTCCTCGCTTCTGACTTTTCATTTCACTGAGTGGACGCGATTCAATTATAGGTGTTACTGGTAAAGTGTTGTCAAACTACAATATCTGTGGTATCTTCTCTAGCCACTAGACTGCACTAATTGAAGTCATATTTTTAGTTATTTGTGGATTCACATATCTTGTAGTTTAAGTGTGTGAGTCTGTCTCAGGGCAGTAGGGTTTTGGGTAGCCAGAAACTATCACACTAACAAGTGGACGGTTGGTTAGTTGGAACGTGAAAACAATAAAGAAATAATGCGAGTGTTAAGAGAAGACAATTTTATCAAGAATAAATAAATAATTCGCTAAATTGGTCATATGTAGAAAGACTTAATTGAAAGAATAAGAAATGAACTAGAGGTGATAATAGTTGAGATAGGGATTAGTTGCTGATACTTAGTACTGATAACCATGGCAAATTATGAGACATGCATCAAAGACGTCTGGTCCAAGATGTTGATTTTGGTCTTTGGGTAAGTACTTGTATATTAAGTCTCCTCTTAAAGCTATTCACCAAGGTGACTGCAGTCACTTAGGCCGTGAAAGATTCCAAACAGGGCAAACGGTTGTGAGAAGAAGTGAGAGTGTGCATAGATATTCACTCTTTAATGTTCAACGCTTCCAAGATTGCCTGGTGGTGTGTGGTGGCGATGTTTTGGTAACGAAGTGGCTGTCAATCGCGACTAACTCTCCTATTTAATGAACCTTATCGTATTTGAAAATTGCCATGCCCTGCAAGCGCATTTCTTTATCCGTGACGTTGGGCGGTAGTCACGTTTCTGTTAGAACTATGATATTCAGATCTAGCTGGAAGCATATGCTTCCGATTTCTCCTAGTTCACCTCTTAGTCTTCTTACGTCG